ACTACCAGGGCCTCCCCAAGGATCTTCCTCAATGGGCCTTCCTCTGACTTGGATGGCCATGGACTTTCACTGTACTTGGACCTGCCTTGCCCTCCACATTGGGATGGGGAGGTAGCCAGGCTCCTGCTGACTCCTATGCTGGGGTGGGGGTCTCAGGGACTGGTGAGCACTTGGCACCCTGCCTATTGCCACCTTAGCCAGGCTTAGTCACTGGATTCAGTGTCAGGAAACAGGTTCTAGTCCCAGTTCCACCATTTACCATCTGGCAAACCTTGGGTACTTTCTTCTCTGGACTTCAGTGTTTTCATCTACAGAATGAAGATAACCATCCCTCTCGGGGGAAAGTTAGGGTTCACTGGAATGTTTAATCTCCTGCTCACAGGGACTGGGCTTCACAGACACTCATCATTGCTGTTAGAAATGGGAAGTAGAGAATGAAAAGACTAGCTACTCCAGTCTTAAAGAGAGAAGAAATGCAATGAACACCTATTGTGTGCCAGGCTCTTTTCAAACATCAGCTCATTTAAACCTCACGATAACCCTGAAAATCAGTATTATCATAACCATTGCACAGGTGAGAAACTGAGACTCAAAGAAGTGAAGCAACATGTCCAAGGTCACACAGACAGTGGTACTCCAGTGCTCACTTGAGGAGGGAACGCTAAGCACTTTCTCTCCCCTACCTCAGTGTAAACAGATTGGGTGGCTGGACTCAGGCCAGGCCTGATTGGCTCTCTGTAGATCCTGTTTCAGACCCAGATGCTGAGAGGACAAAACATCAAGCAGGCCCCACTGCCTTATCTGTTCCCCACAGCTTAGGGTTTCCTAGCAGGTGGACACACAGGCACCTTCCCAGGGCAGCAGCTTATACACTGGCCCCTTCCCTCACCAATTCAGGTCTTGTCTGAGGCCCTAGAACACCCACATGGCCACTAAACCAGATTTTCCTTTGAGGCTGGGGGAGGGAAGAAGGGGAGAAAATGGGAGGTACTGTGGTCTACAGTCACAGACCAGGCACGGCCCCACATGTGCAGTTGCCTCCTCCCAGATGGGCCACCCAGGGACCACTGCACTGCCAATTCCATGCTCTCCTGGGATCTGTAATCACTCAAGAAAAGAGGATGCCCTGAGCTTACAAACTGGAGAAAGTGGTGGAGAGGCAGAGAGGTAGGCTTCAGCCTACCAGGAGGGCCCTGACCCCACCCCAACAAAAACTGGCATAGACCAAACTATAGAGATAGCAATTAAGCCAGTTCTAAGACTTCTAAAGTCTTAAGGCTGCCATAGTTTGCTAGGAGCAGTGGAAGGCCCAGGGGAAATGAACCAGCAGAAGGCAACACTGCTGCTCCAGATGTTTCTCCCTGGGCCCAGCTCAGATCCCTCACTCCCCTAACAGGAAGTAGACACCGACGGGATCCCAGAGAACATAGCTCCTCACCTCATCTGGCCTGCAACTCTGAGCAGACTGAGGCTGAGTGGGAAGCCCTGACAATCACATGGGAAAAGGAGAGGGAGGTCAGTGACCAACCCCACTCAGGCCACTTCCCTCGGGCTAGGACACCTGGTATCTAATTGTTACCAGGTAGTAAGCCCCTTCTTTTCCTTTCTGACTTCCATCTATGCTGCAGAAAGAACCCCAAATAAGTCTGCTCCTCCTAAGCCAAAGTGATAGGAACAGGAAAGGTAGCCTCACTCCTCCCACCCTCCCCTGCTGAGAACACTTCTTTCTCCTCCTCTGGTCCTTCCTGGGCTTCTACGCCCAGCTCAGTCCCCAAACAAACCAAAAGAACTAATGCTGCCACCACCCTTTTCTGTGCTGAAGCCACCCACAGGACCCTTAACTGGCTAGCTGCTTTCTTGTCTCTCCCCACTTACTGGCTATTGCTCAAGAGCAGACAGGGACCATCTCAGGCCCACCAAAGGTTCCCTGCAGAGTAGGCACAAGAGACCAAGTGAAAAAGTAGAAAGAGCCAAGACTGAGAATCAGGAGTTTGGGGTTCAATTCCTAGCTTTGCTCCTAACAGACTAATGAGTTGAGGCTAATCACTTCTCTTAGGCCTCAATGTACTTACCTGTATGATGATGGCCACTTCTAAGATCACTTCCAGCTTTCTGACTTGAAATGTTTATCAGTAAATGTCATTCAGTAAATAAATATTGAGCATTTACTCCACTGCAGGTACTACATTAGATGCTAAGGAGAAAAAGGTGAATATGACTGGTCCCAGACCAGCAGTTGATCAATCTAATGAATTGGTAGTGACAACACACTTTCCCTTGCTGGGCCATCACTGTTAGCCTCAGTTTCCTCATCTGTACAATAAGTAAGGGCTAGGCTGGCCAATCTCTTAAAATTCCTTCTAGCTCAAACAATCTCTGATTTTATGATCTACTCACACCAGGCACCTGACAGCCACCTGAGCAGGGGTAGCCTCTGACCTGCTTTTTCCCCACCCCCGCAGCCCCCAGTAACTGCCAAAACTGACCGTCTTGAGGCAACCTTTAGCCCAGGGTGGCTGAAATGGACCTTTAATCTGGAGCCAGAGTCCCCACCATCTCCACTGCAGCCATAAGTGCTAATGTTTCACTTCTCTGGGTTAGCACAAGGGCTCCTAGCCCTCAACAATGAGACTGGGTTTAGAGCAGTCACACTGAAACTTCCATAACTTCCCCTCCTACAGCTTTGGGCAGGGACTTACTCTAGGCCTTTTTGAAACCACAATATAAGCTAAGCAGGGAACATCCAAGTTTTAGATGCCAGAGATTTTAGGTTGATGGACAGGGTCAAGAAAATGAGGCAGGGAGAGAGGAGTGGACCTGGGACCCCACTTTAGCCTCAGCACTACAAACACCAGTGATGCAGAGGGCGTCTGCAGAGCCACATCCCGGGTTTGTGGTTAGAGGGTGGGGAAGACAGATGTCTGGCTGCCTGGTTGGGGACAACAGCCAAAGGGAGGTGCTCCCACTGGGCCCCCTCTCTGTCCACAAATACCAGAGGTACTCCCTCATTTTTCTCCTCAATTCTCAGAACCTTAGAAGGAAATGAACACTTTCTGGGCCACTACATGCGCCAGGCACTGTGTTACACACCTTCTCATACTTGATTTTATTTAATCCCCACAGTAATCTTGGAAGTAGGTGTTACTGTTGCCCTTTACAGTGAGTAAACAGGCTCAGAGATTCATGATCTTGCCCAAGGTCACACAGCCAGTAAGTGTGATTCCTAGGTCCTTTTCTCACTGCTTTGCACCCCAAGATCTGGTTAACCACCCCAAGAAGCATGTAGTAGGAATTCTCATGCCCTAGAATTTACCAACAAATGTGAGCTCTTCCTTTCAAGAACCCACAAATGCAACTGGGAACTCCTTTCCCAGTTCGCAAGACCCTACCTCTACCAGGGCTCTGATCCCTGGTGACCATTCCCCAGTTCAGAAACACACCCTGTGTCCTCTTTGGGCTCTCACAAACTAATCCCTGGGAACTGTGACAAAGAATCAAGTCAGGGTGAGGGATCAGAAAGAGGTGTGCTCTCTAGAGTCCTTGATTGGACTAGGGTTAGCCTGTGAATAAGAGAGGAGGGGCTGAAGGAGACAGAGCCAGTGGGTAGCAGGGAACTCTCCTTAGAGGTGGGGCCTATATTTCTCTAAGGGAGAGGAGGCCTGATGAATAAGAGGCTTCAGGGCTGGGGAAAATCCCGGAAGTGGCCTTTACAGAGCTACTTGTGGGGCAGGGAGTTCTTACAGATATCAAGGCATTTCCATAAGATATGCGAGAGGCTGGGGGAGCCTTGGACAGTCATAACTGGTCAGAGGAGAGGAGGAAGAATAGCCTCTGGATTGGGTCATGGCTGGGCTGGTGGAACCCCATAACGTGACTGTGAGAGGCTATCTCTGTTGAAGAAGACACAGCAGGAGGGAGGCTTGTCAGTTCTGTGCAGGGCACCAGTCTCATGTGACAGGATAGCTGGAATGGAAGTAGGATCTGGAGTCCACCTTTCCTAGGGAGATTGCCAGCCCATGTACCCAGTATCTGTGACAAATGGGCTCAGGGAGTTCTGGGGGGGCAGAGTGTGGCTGCTGAGTGTGCCCAGCTGCGAGGGAGCCTAGTATTTCTCGCCTGACACCTGGATGCCTCTGTGCCGGGGCCGGGGGGGTGGGGAGGGGATCTGGGTGTGCTATATGAGCAGAGACCCTGCTGTCTCTCTGCCTCCTCCTCTAGATGTGCTTTTTGAGGGGAGGGGCACAACCCCACAGCATACACAGAGCCTGTCTACTGGCTTGTGTGGCTGTCGGAGCTGACAGTCTGTCCTGCTGTGAATAAACAGAGAGGAAAGGGGGAGAGTCTGCCTGCCTGTTGCCAGTGACAGGAGAGAAATCTGCCTCTAGGGGTAAGTGGCACTCTTTGACCCTTTCATGAGCGGAAGGGACTGTCTGTGAGGGAGGAGACCAATGCCAGTCCACCCAGAAGTCTGTGTGTCTTGAGGGAAGGGTCAGTCTGTCCTGGGATGGGATAGAGGTCCTTCTGAAGTCCGCTGAAGGTTCCCTGGTGTGAGTGGTGGAGTGGTGACCCAAGGGCGTCTGTGTGTCTGTCTGTTGGCGGGGATGTGGAGGCACCAATCATCTGTGAGTCTGCGAGGGCAGCCAAGTCAAATCAGCCCTAACACCAGGGTGACGGCCGCGGGATTTGGGCAGGTGACTGTCGGTCTGTCTCCTGGTTGAAAGGGGGCCACTGTCGTCCCGTCGTGAGGGACGAGTCAGTCTGTCTGAGAGGGCCAAGGGGGAGAATCGGTCTGTCGGTCCCTAGGTCGGAAGTAGGCCTGCGGGTGAGGGGCGGGTCTGTCTGAGGGTGGAGGTGGGGGTGGGGCGGGGATTAGAGGTTGGTGGTCCCCGATTGGAAGGGGGCACGTCGGTCTGTCCTGAGGAATGATCTGTCCGCGTCGAGACGCCCCCGCGGGTTCGCGCCCGGCCCGACTCCCTGGCCTGGCCCCCGGTGCTACTCACGCGCCCTCGGCGCCCTGTGAGCCCACGATGAAGCCGAACTTGTCGATGCGGCGCTCTGCGAAGCCGTTGGCCTCCGAGTCGGAACCCAGAGAGCTGAGCTCGTCAGCGGCCGCGGCGTCGGGGCCCGGGGCCAGGCTCTCTCGGGTCCCCGACAGGCTCCCGCCGGGTGCGGGCGCGCGCGGCCCGTTCTCTCCGCGGCTCTTCGCCATCCCGGCCGCGCCTGCCGCCTCAGCCCCAGCGACCGCCTCAGCCCCAGCGACCGCCTCAGCCACCTCAGCCGCCCCGCCGCCGCGGACGCCGCAGACGCCCCGCCCACTCGCCGCGCCCATTGGCCTCCGCACTGCCGGGGGCGGGACTCTACGCCCACCCGGGGCTCCCCTCCTCACGCCCAATGGGAGCAGTGGACCCAGGGCCCCGCCCACCTTCCCCAGGCTGGCGCCAACAGGCTTGACGTGAGGGGGTGGGGCAACCGTCATTCGGATCCCTCTTCCCCGGAGCCGCCAATCAGGAGGGCTCACCTGGACCAGCTCCTCCGGTCTTTCCCGGTGGCCCGGGCGGGCCTCTCACCTCCAGCCGCGCAGGTGGCCCAAGGTATCCGCCATGTCTTCCGCATCTGCTTCTGGACTTTCGCTCCTCGCAAGACCCCAGGGACGTGGGTGGGAATTGTTTCACCCATTCATTTATGAGGAACTCCGAGGAGACCCAGATGGATTCAGGGTCTCGCCGGGGGAAACACAGCGACTCAAAAGCCCCGCCTGAGCTAGGAGTTTGTTCGCCCCTGCTCACCGCTCCCGAGACTTAAAGTTAGCTCATGGAAGACCTAATTAAGAATAATGACTAATGTTTATTGAATCACGCACTGCCCCAAGCTCTACCTGCTTTCTCTTGTAATACTTTTCTTTAACGGCTTTGAGATATGTTATTGTTAGGTGCTGTCCAGTCGGTTTTGACTCATAGCGGCCCTATGTACAACAGAAGGAAGCACTGGCCAGTCCTGCCCCATCCTCACAATCCTTACTATGTTTGAGCCCATTGTTGCAGCCACTGTGTCAGTCTGTCTTGTTGAGGGTCTTCCTCTTTTTTGCTCACCCTCTACTTTACCAAGCATGATGTCTTTCTCCCAGGACTGGTCCCTCCTGAGAACATGTCCAAAATACTTAAGTTGAAGTCTTGTCATCCTCACTTCTAAGGAGCATTCTTGCTGTACTTCCAAGACAGCTTTGTTTGTTCTTCTGGCAGTCCATGGTATATTCAATATTCTTCACCAACACCATAATTCAAATGCACTGATTCTTCTTCAGTCTTCCTTATTCACTGAGATACAATCCACCTCAATTTAAGTATATTGAGATATAAAATTCACCCTTTTAAAGTGTACAATGCAATGGTGTTTAGTATATCTACAAAGTTGTGCAGCCATCGCCATAATCTAGTTTTAGAACATTTTAATGACCCCATAGGAAACACCATACCCATTAGCAGTCACTTCCATCCTACCCTCTCCCAGTCCTGGATGACCACTGAATCTACTTTCTATATATTTACCTTTTTAGATATTTCATACAATAGGCAGTCTTTTGCATCTTCTTTTACATAATAATGATTTCAAGGTTCATCTACATTGTAGCATGTATCAGTACTTCATTCCTTTTTTATGGCAGAATAATATTCCATTGTATGGATAAGCCATATGTGCTTATCCATTCATCAGTGATAGTCATTTGGGTTGTTTCCACTTTTTAGCTACTATGAAGAATGCTGCTATGAACATTCGGGTACAAGCTTTTGCGAGGACATGTTTTCATTTCTCTTGAGTAGATACCTAGGAGTGGAATTGCTGGCTCATATGGTAACTCTATTTTAACCTTTTCAGGAACTGGCAAACCGCTTTCCAAATTTGTTGCACCATCTCTTATACTTTTAGCAGTGGGTAGTTACTACTTACCATTAAGGGAACACAAGTGCTGGAAAGTGGAGTCAGTTGCATAAGGTCCCAGAACTAGCTTGTGGCAGAGTCAGGAGTTGAACCTAATTCTTACCAACAGCTCATATTGGGAAGGATGAGCCAACTGTATCTACGTGGACAGCCCCAGCAGTAGACTTCTGACCCCAAGGATTGTCACCTCTTGGAGATGATAGCCCTTCACTTTAGTAGTTTATGGCTTACAAATCATAAACATGTTGTCATCTGATGCTCCTCTGCACCTGCCGGGGACAGGCCCAGAAAGAGGAAGGGACTGGAAGAGCCAGGCATGAGCTGCAGGACCTAGGACAGGTCACCAAGGGACCCAAGGCAAATCCCCGGCAGGGGCTTAAGCCTTGAGTGATTTCACCAGCCATTTCCTTAATGCCATGTGGCCCAGACATTCTTAAAGACGTCACTGTGTAATCTTACATTCCATGGGTTTCTGGTATTTTCATAAACAGGGCAATAGCAAACTTGGGAATCGGGTGGTGGCTCTGTAACCCAGAAAGGTGATGTGCACACAGGCTATTTTGGTTTTAAACCCTGTCTGGGAGGACATTCCTTCTCACCAGTGGCTCCAGACAGCATGTTGGGCTCTTAGTCCCAGCTCCCAGGAGGAATTCCTGGTCTTCTCTCTCTGGTTGGGGCAGAGTGGGCCACACATGGGCTACGGGGTGGAGGTTGGGGGAGGCAGGGGCAAAGCCAGACTGGCCTGGATCAGATGTGAAATCTCAAGGATGACAGACAGCAAAACAAAATATCCATAACTCTATGACTCCGTAATTCTAGTCCTAGGATCATATCTCAAACACATTCTTACCGTAAGGGATGTTTGCCCCAGCAGTATTTGGGGTAGGGGTAAGGGGTAAGTTAGAGCCACCCAAATGTCCATCTGGTATTTCTCAAGTTAAAGCCTTGATGCTTCTAATTACATCAGACCACCCAGGATTCAAATCTCTGTTTGGCCTGCTAGCCATGTTACCTTCAGCAAATCACTTCTCACTGAGCCTATTTCCTCATCTGTAAAATGAAAATAACTCCTTGGAGTTGTTCTGAGCCTTTAGTGTGATAACATGTGCAAAGCATCTGGCACATGGAGACACCCAGTAAACGGTAGCCAGGGGTGGCAGAATTTGCAATCTGCAAAGCACTGTTATATGCATGATTTTCGTGTTTCTCATCACAGTCTGTGGCTGCAGCAGGGTAGTTCACCTAATTTAACCAATGGCACCTGGCTTGGGAGACTTCACTTCGTGGCTGTGCCCCTCAATAACATGACTTCTTGTGCAAAATCACGTAACTTCCCAGAACCTGTTTCCTCTGCTGAACAATAGTAATGACAATAAGTGCAAGCTGTCTCTGAAGCCTCCAGCACATGGTAGACACTCGATAAATGTGTTTACTTCCTTCAAACTCCAGAGCGCCTTAACTCATTACACTTAATACGTCTTTACTTAATACTTTTAATATGCCAGACATTACTGTAGTGAACAACAAAATCTTGGCCTGAGAGAGCTTACATTCCAGCGGAGGAGGAACAAATACAAAGCGTTTGTCAGACAGTATGGAGAAGAAAAATGAGGCAGGGATAAAGTATATAAAGTACTATACCCTACAGAGAATGTTCTGGGGGTGGGGGTGGGGATGTTAGCCTGAGAAGACCTAATGAACACAAGGGAGCCCCCCACCCCCTGGGGGGATCTGGGAAGAGGTTCTGCAGGGCAGCTAGTGCAAAGCCCTTAAAGGAGGATGGGGTGGTTAGAATGGAATGAGGAAGCCGAGCAAGGAGTAAATGAATGAATGATGAATAAATAATCAAAAAGAATGCACTACAGAATCACATGGTTCACCGGAGTACAAAATAAGAGGCCTTTGGCAATACTTTGAAGCATCCTGGTGGACCGGCTGTTGTGGACGCTCTCTTGAAGATGAGAGATGCTTCGCCAGGGCTACAGGAATTTGTTGCTGTCCTGGAGTCTCATCTTGCAGGGGTCATTCCAGAAAGCTTTGCCCAAGGTGCTCATAGGCCCATGCAAGCCCATCCTGGATCCTGGAATGTGCGGTTTGCATGCACTCAGGAAACCTGTAAGTGTTGGCCACGAGCAGACGCCCAAATGCCATAGTCTTTATTTGTAATGACAGCAGAGCAGAGGCTCAGAAGGTAGACTGCTGGTGCCCAGTAGCCTCTGAAGACCAGAAGACGAAAGGTTGTTTTTATCCCAAGGTTTTCATACTGAGGGTATCAAGTAAGAATCTTTTGGTCCACGTGGCAGACAACACAACTCAAACTGGCATTAACCAAAACTAATTAGTGGTTCCCATAGCTTAAAAAAAAAAAAAAAAATCCATAGATAGGGTAAGCTTCAGGAAGTCTGATCCAGAGTTTAGATCTCCAGGGCTATGGCCTAATTTTTCTTTTTTCCTCCTTTTCTGTCTTCCTTCCTAGGGCTGTTGCATCTTCAAGTTAAGAGGTCCTCATGGCAGCAGTTCCAGGATTCACAGCCTTCCTCCACGTCTCCGCAGAATGGGATGACTCTTCTGGTGGCTTCTGCTCAATGGTGAAAACGTTGTATTGCCTTCATGTTACTGGTTTAAACTAGGCCACGTGCCCATCTCTGATTAAATCACCACAACTCAGGGATAGAGAACACTGACTGGCTTAATTGAATTTAGCCTAAGGCCAGAGTAGTGCCTTCTCTGTATAGGAGTATATATTGTCCTGTTTCATGTATTGTGGGTCTCCGGGTACCCAGAATTGTTCATTTAAACGTTCTCTTTAAAAAAGAAAATCTAATGATGGAGAATAAAAAAAAAAAACTCATTGCCATCTAGTCGATTCTGATTCATAGCAACCCTACAGGACAGAGTAGAATTGCCCTGTAGAGTTTCCAAGTAGTGCCTGGTGGATTTGAACTGTTAGCTCTTAACCACCACACCCCCAGAGGTTCCAATGTAGGTAACTATGAGCTAATCCCAGAGTGATTAATAATTCTGAGGTCTCACATTTTACTTTTAGTAAAAATATCAGGAGCCCCGGTGGCGCAGCAGTTAAATGTTTGGCTGCTAACCAAAAGGTCAGCAGTTCACATCCACCAGCCGCTGCTTGGAAACCCTATGGGGCAGTTCTACTCTGTCCTTTTGGTCGCTATGAGTCGGAATTGACTTCACGGCAATGAGTGTGGTTTTTTGGTTTTCTGCCTTTTTGATTCTTGAATTACAGGGATAAATGATACATTACCTATAGGGATTGTTGTAATTAGTTACACAGCGTATTTCCATTCAAATACATATCTCAACATGAAA